TTGGTCCAGTAGCGCCGAGGAGCGGCGCTGCGGGACCAACCCAGCAACACCCCAGCTGCTCTGCCCCAGGTTTGTCCGATTCAGCTGCTGCTGGTCAGTTTCAACAGCGGCTGAATCTGGACTCCAGTTCCGACTTACATACAAATTCAACTTAAGAACAAACCTATAGTCCCTATCTTGTACGTAACCCGGGGACTGCCTGTATTACATTGTCAGAACTCTTTAAAATAATAATTACAGGACATGCAAACCTCAATAGATGTATATTGATGTATAGTAGCAAAGCAGAACCTGGCACTGGTTTGTAAGAATGAGTCTTCCAAAGTCTGCAGTTGGCCTTCCTCTGCTCTCATGGAAGCAAGTGACGGAGTGCTTTTGGAAATCACATCCATAATCCTTAAAGTTTGTTATGAAAACTGATGCTTGTCCTGTCCCTAATGTCTAATAACCACCTCTGAGTGAGGAGAAATGCCAGCAATTCAAAATCAATGTATTTGTGTACTATTTTCTGTATTCCCCATTGTATACAGCAAATTCTGGGAAGTCTGCAAATATCATTTTTGTTAAAAGGAATAACTTCATGAAGTCTGTAGTTTTCAGTTCTTCAAATACTTGTTTAAAATGGCAACAACAAAAAAATGTTGCTTAAATACTTTAGTCAGAGCTATGGTATAAAGGGCAATCAGACAAATCTCCAGCCTGAGACACCCACCACATAATTCTGTTTAGCCTCTACCCTAGAATAATGATGAAAATCAGCTGTTTCTCCCTTTGGATGAAATCTTAAAATATTAGGCCTCCATGTTTATCATCACTGTGTTTTTGGCTTTTTTCAGGGGAGCAATTACTAATGGCTGGAGAGGTCTTCAACATCAGACCATTGCAGTTATATGCTATCACTCAACAACTGCGGCAGGGGAAACCTACATGTGCTAATGGAGACGCCAAAACTGATCTAGGTCATATACTGGATTTCACATGTAGACTCAAATATTTAAAGGTAGAATGTACTGATGTAAATAACGTCAATGTCGTTTTCTGCAATTCTTTTCAAGTCTTTATTTGTGTACATTAGAACTTAATAGTGCAGTGTTAGTGTCACTTAATCTTTTGAAAGCAAGGAAACTCCAATGTTAAGGCTGATTAGGTGCCCTATAAGGTAAAGATTCTTGTGCCTAGAAGTAACACATTAGCAGCTGATATTTTTCTGCATGATGTGGCTTCCTCAGAGTCCCATTTTAGGTGCTTTGTACATAGGCATACAACCATGTAACCTTTCTGAGCATTGGTTGGCCTTTGGGGGTGCACATAACTCTGTGATACTTTCTGTTTAGTGTAGCGTTTATAGAAACTTTGTCCATCTCATCATTCTTACTTCATTGTTTTTATATCTGTAATTATAAATAGTTACTGTTCCATTGGGCATATTGCAACCGAGTTTCCATTGAAAACCAATTTTAGCCCCTTATTATCTTAACAATAAAAGCTCGTGTGGCATCCTCAAAATTGGTAGGCTTAGGCCACATCTCCATTTATCATGCCAGAGATCGATCAGCCTGCTTTTGATTTAGCAGCTCTAGTTAGCAAATACTGAACGTGGCTCCAGTCACAGCAGTACTCCACGCAGTTATAAGGAGTAAGGGAAGCCGATGGGAGCGTTTGCTCCCGTTAGCCACCCACTATGAAGATCGTGCCAAACTCAGCTGAGGTAAGCCAACTCTAGCTATGTATTTTATGTAGCTGGAGTTACGTACCTTAAGCAGGCCTTCTGGGTCTAGTATAAATCTTGCTCTCAGTCTGGAGCCAAGGCAGGGTTTTTTCTGCCAAATTTGAAGTGACCAGAAAAGGGTTTCCTCAGTTCTGAAGTAGTTAAAATAGAGGGTATTACATATCCAATTAAAAAGGCAGATTTTTTTATGCTTTATAGCAAAGAGAAAACAGCTTCCCTGTGTCTTGCCTGACTTCTGATTTAAATCTGTCCGGTTGATCATATAGCTTCAGAAGAAGTTTAATTGTAAAGGAGACCTTTCAAGAATATTTAAAAGTGAAAGCACTTACAGTATGAGCTTGCACCCTTAATGCAATGAATCAAATTAAATATTAATGTAATCATTAATTATGAATCCTATTACATATTAATCCATTTTTTGTCTGGGATTAGAATAGTTATGTGTCACAGAGCAGTGGCCAGGAACTCCAGTCCCTTACTAGGCAAAAATGTATGGCTGGGGAGACTATGCAGCTGTTAGAAGCAAAGCTGTGCCTGCAGCTCCCTTTCTGTGGAGCTTTCCCATTTCCAGCATTGAAGCTCCTATGGGGGGGCGGAGGGAGAGGGAGGGACACCCCTCCCCCCGTGTTCTTTGGCCCAGTAGTGTTGTGTAACCCTGTAAGCTCTGATAGCTTGTGCCTACAGCATGTCAGCTTTTTCAGAGCTTGCAAACCCCGAATGAGTCCAAGCAAGTAATGCACTCACTGCAGGCTTCTCAAATTCAGATGTTCATGGCAAGTGTTACCGAACTGTCTGCATTGGTACTGATATTAAGTGAAGACAAGCAGATAACGCTAATTTGGAGTTACTAGATTTACACAGAAATCCAACATGATACTCGCTTTTTTTCAGTCTCTCAACTTGGAAATGTTTTATCCTACTTGAAACTCTGAGATGGAAGTGTGTACTTTTTAAATTTTGTTTCAAGAAGAGAGTTGATTTTTAATTCCTGGGAATTAGGGTGTCAATTAGCTTACAATGGAAAACTAATTCCAATCTTAACTATGAAGTCTTTTCCATAACTCTAGGTGCTATAATGTATAAACACAAGGTGGCAGCCTTAGGCAAGGGCTCTAAACTTAAACTCCTGAGCCACGCAGATACCTACCTATATTCCATGTAGGCAGCACTATTCCCATAGGAGGATTTCTCCCATTGACATTAGCACCTCTCGCAGAGATGGAATTCGGGATGTCCACATGTAGTTGACTATACGATTAACCCATAAACCCAAGCTTATCGGTTAATCCTGGTGACTACGTGCATTTCTTCCTCCGCCCTCTACTTGCTAGGTCTTTATTAGAGGTAGTAAGGCGCGGAGCCAGTTCCCTGCAGTACAGGCAGTCCCCGGGTTACGTACAAGATAGGGACTGTAGGTTTGTTCTTAAGTTGAATCTGTATGTAAGTCGGAACTGGCGACCAGATTCAGCCGCTGCTGAAACTGACCGCCAGTTCTGACTTACATACAGAATCAACTTAAGAACCCCAAGCGTCCCCAAGTCAGCTGCTGCTGAAACTGATCAGCAGCTGATTCCAGGAAGCC